CAAGCTCCCATGGCCGGATCGCCGACAAGTGACTTGTCATGCAACATCGGAGCAAATGATGATTGGGGACCAATTATGAAACAAACTTGAATATTTCAATTACTTTCCCTCTCTTGTTTCCTTCGTTGATACTAGTCATATTTATTGTGTTGTAATGGCATGAATAAGACACACTGAAAANNNTTTCCCAATTTGTGTTCTCATTATAAACTGAACTCATAATGAGAAGACAAACTGGCAAACAAGCTCGTTTTCAGTGCGATCTTAATCATGCCATTACGACACAATAAATATGACTAGTAACAGAAAAGGATTTACAAGGAAAAAAGACCGAAAATAATTAAAGTATTCAACAGTTTCTTTCATAATTGGTCCCCAATTATCATTTGCTGTCATGTTTCATGGCAGGTCACTTGTCGGCAATCCGGCCATGAGAGCTTGAATGCTTGTACAAATTATTTCTGAGCACACAGATGGGGGTTGTGAAGACGGACGGAAACTGCCTCCGCTGTGGCTAGAATGCGAAACCGCACGTGTCTAGATCGTCACGCTTACAATGTGATTAGTGATACGACCGCACTTATGATTGCCTTAACCATGCAGCGTGATGCGCTCGGACAGACGTCTGGTCGTGCGGTCAGCATACTTTGCGCCACAGAAACAAGTGAAAGGGTAAATACAGAATCGGGTACTCCATCCTTTAACCGTATATACACCAACGGGCTAGATGTTAATCGAGTTTGAAGCTTAGCCGTGTAGAGCGATTTGCGGAGGGGATTTTATAACCTATGCACAATCTCTGCCAAGGTGTCGTCTTTAAATGGTGAAGAAATGTACAGAGATTTATTCTCAGCAATAGCCCTCTTAGGAAACGCCTCATGTGGTTGCATCATAGATTCCATCAAGCGTCCTGGGTATCCATTAAGGATGAAGATATTCTGCACATTTTGGAGTTCGTATGTTGTTAGTGGGAAGAACGAGTGAGTAATGCAATTTTTCTGAGGAAGGATTGTACAGTTGTCCCAGGCGATATCACCGTGCGCTTATTGCGGATGCAGTGTGTCGCGCTTTTGTTAAATAGATCTAGCTCTTCGTCATGAAACCCACGCTTTGTCATGGGACCTTGCGGTACCTAAGGGTTTATCTAACACGTGCAATTTTAAATATTTGGCTGAAATATTTTTAAGTGAGAAAATAATTCAAACAATCGATGAAGTCAAAATACAATACAGTACGTAAGCCATCAGTGAAGGAATACAAAATGTTATATGGACAGCGGCGGCAGTTCTCCGTAACTATGCTCATCACTCAGACGAAAAGTTCGGTAACGTATAAGAATTTAACGGTAAAAGAAGTCTAGATTCGGGCTGAAAATAATACATCAACTGACAAAGCTCCTGATGAAGTGGTACCTTCGGAATAATACTATCCAATATTATCGTTACCACAGTATTGCACAGCCACATAACTTATGACCTTCATCACCCAATGTTGTTGTATACTGTATTGGTGGGTAATGCGTTAGTCAAATTACGCAAGCCAAGAGCATGACAAGTGCTTCGGAACAAAGTGTGCACGAGAGATTGGGATGGATTAGAAAAGCTTTAAAATAAAATCAATAGGATACCACCACTTTGCAGATTTTCCCCTACTACGGGGATAATTAGAACGCAATTGCTTGTTTTTCATTTTGACTTCCTTTTATTGAATACATAATGATACACACATGTCCTCCGGGGGGGTGTGATAATTTCATCCTGTTACCACCACCGCCCAATGAGATGAGGGAACACTATACTTGCTTTGATGCACTTTAGGTTATCAAACACCGACTCTGATAGTTTGTCAAAAACTCAAATGGAAGACATGACAGAAATGAGGTATCGATCACAGTATTATTATTAATAATAATAATAATAATAATGAGAAGAAGAATACTGATACTTTACATGATCATATCTGTTGAGTTCAAACCAGGAGTTCGTTTGAAATCCAAACCGGACTAGTCTCATCACCTCGCTGCCTCGTTCCCACAACCAGAAGACAAAATCAACTTTAATTTAGATGATAATATGCAATCCTCCATTCTAAATCCTGCAACTCCAATTGCTGCATGCGGATAACCCAGAGTTACGGAGATCTAACGATCTTGCAACGGTCAGCCACCAAATGGGGCTTCAGACCCGAAGAAATTGGTATAGAACTGCAAGTTACAGGACCTTTTCGGATTCCACGTTAAGACCCCGACGATGACGAATATCCAACGTTGGAAGCTCTGGCAAATGGAGCACGATGTGTAAGAGGTTTTTTTTATTAAACATTAGTTTCGACGTCTCTGTTCAACCGGCACATTTAAATCACAGGTTGTGGTACTCTCGTTCATTAGTCGGTTGTCATTTCATGTACACTACTTTACTTTTATTTTGCTGCGCTTGGCTCCTTGGAAAGTAAAAGCCGGCTCCAGAAGTGATCAAGATGATGGTATGAGAGACGTCCCCAGCGTCAATCGGCGCTTCTTATTCTGAGGCCGCACCTCTAGCCTTTGCACAACTGCAAGGCAGCAGCAAGTAATCCCTCGCCTCGGAATTGAGGAGATCAATGACCTTGGTTTTAAAAGGCCAGTCACATCGGCCTTTATCACGACACCGTCATTGGGATTATGCGGCTTTTAAGCAGGAGTCAGGTGACCAGTCTGAAACCCACCAAACCCTGGCAGTCCCGCAGCTGTTTATTCGCGACTGCTTTTTAGTTGCGGTATGCCACGACTTATTCACAGCTAACCTTCTTCGGTGAAGGTATCCCCGTATCCACAACCCGGGGAAGCGCCTGGTAGCGTTCAGCTCTGCTTAACCCGAGGTAAAAACTATAGAAAATTAATGACACTTGGAATGGTATTAGGTATCCACTAAGCTAGTACACCTATTTCGAGCAAATATGATAGGCGCCAGATAAACAGGAATCCATAAAATGCCTCAGTTATGAATGTCTTCGTTACATCCTTTTTTATTCGTTGAATATGTAAATGCACAGTCAACTTTCAGGAAGGGTGCGGCGACCATACGATGATAAAATAACGGTAAAATAAAGAATTATAGAAGGCGGAGTGCAGTGAATGAATGAATATTTTTCATCGTTTGACATTGAATGCTTAGTTTCAATGTTGGAGTTCAGGAAACTCAAGCAATTAATCCCAACCGATTCTTAAGTATCCGTATTAGTTCACTCCCAGTGACTGTTGGCCGAATTTCTCAGGCACACATACTGTTCTTCACGGATGCTCTTTCTCTTGCTTTTATAACTGATTCGATTTAAGCGAATATATAATCTTCGTGGGATAATCGACGAACAAATTGTCCTATTTCGAGTATGTGGACTGTGTTGCGCGCTGCAGTGCAAGGAGACTCTAAATAAGTTGCATACTCTAACTGTACACACCCTCAAACAGATAAGGAGACTTGTTTGGCATGCGTTACAAACTGTCATCGTGAAAATGCTACACTTCCGGACTGGATTTATCCCATTCCGAAGAAAAATAACGCAACGAGTATGTATGCTCCGTTGTTAGACAGATGCACATCACTTGACGAACTAAGCTCGAGTGTTTCGAACTGTATTTCGATTGGATTTAAACTGCGGGTAAAGAAGCAGGCAGTGAATGTTGCGCACTTTTGTCAGTCAGTTATGCCTCCCTCTTTCTTTTATGCGATAACCGTTTCATCATGTTCACTGTTCTTTTATGCGTTGTCCGATATGCTTTAGCCGTGGAATATCGAACAAGTGTGTATCTAAGAGTTGACACCTTCGCGTGGAAGGTGTACCCAGAATGACACATTGAGACTTAACCAATAGTTCACGACAACTGCGGATCGGAAAACGTTAAAACGGTCACCCGATAAGTTGACGACGTGCTGATCCTGAGCGAAAGTCAGACTGACGGGAATAATTTGTATCAGTAACTGATCAAAACTCATCCATATTATCTTTAGTGACCCTGATAAAAAGGCTATCATAAAGGAGTACAGTCAACGACGAACAACGAATATGTTTACGTTTCAAAAAGGTTTCCATATTGGTATATCATGTGTGTGTTGTCGAGACAGCGAATATATCAGCTGTGAATACAAATCAAAATTTTAGCATTTTCTATTGTTTAGACAAGAAATTCACTAACAGACACGTATAAGCGCGACCGCTGGGATTGTTTGACACAAACAGTTTACACGGAGAAGTCCAAAAATTAATGGAAAACAGAACAGTGAACGATTTCCACCCAAAATTACGTAATTCCTCAACATAACCCATTCATGTGAAGCATAATTTGTTCCTTTGTCCATTACATTACCGCACAAGAAAACACATGTGGGCAGAATTGAGAATGGCTGTCCATCTGCTCGCGTGCTCTCATTCACAACTGCAAAACGCACATTGATGTGATTAAGTCAAACAGAGAAACATGGGAGTTGAAATGAGTGGTGGTGGACAAGTGATTTGTGTATGATTAATGTTTGGTTAGGGGATTAGGGTCCAGTTAGATGAGAAAGTGTGACATGAAAGTGAACTCAAGTCAGGTATTTGCTTTATGCAACCGGAAAGGTGAGTATTCAGCAACCGGTTCTATGTGGAAGAGGGAGAGAGAGAAGGTCAAGTCGCGCACTATGTTACAATGGCCTTAAGTGCGACATAATCACTACCGGAACTGGATAGTATCTGCATCTCAGGAGTTTCTGCTTTGTGGGACACAAACGTGGTCTGGTGCACACTCTAGTTTGGATGGTTCGCCAACTATGCAGCCCGAAATTCCTTCCAGATGAACTAGACCGACTGAAAAGTGCTTTGCCGGGCAGTGGTTGGGGTCTCACATTCATTCACAAGTGCAGTAATCCGGTCAACCCCCGGGTGCATCTCCATAAAAGCTAAAAAGGACGTTTACAATGACCTACCTTTCGAAAGAGATGATGTAACAGCCGAGATCTCTCGTGGTTGAACACACACGATGGAAAGAACGTAAACTACCGCTCGAGAAATGATTCTTCACAGGACATTTCGCATTAATCTCGATCAAAACGACTTTGGTATAACCTCCAAGTGTATATATTTATTGCAATGTACTTATGATCAGAGATACACCACAAGGACAGAACGCCTTCCATCAACTAGAATGTGTGAACACGTCCCCAAAACACCTTAGTTTTTGCGGAAAACTATCTACCAGCGCAATTGCACTGTTTCTGTTAGACTCCAATCACCACGTAGACGCATCAAAAGTGTTTCGAGTCATCACAAAACCTCCAAGGTCACGGAGTTTGCCATTTTTAGAAGCGAAAATTATTCAATGCTTGAAGCCATAATTAAGTGTTCAAACTACAGATTTGATGCAACTGTTTTTCTCCAGGTAGTGATTATGTCACGCTTGAGGTCACTGTAACAGGGCGTGAAATGACCTTCCCTCTTCCACATCGATCTAGTTCACTTTCATGTCACACTTTCTCATCTAACTGGACCCTAATCCCCTAACCAAACATTAATCATACACAAATCACTTGTCCACCACCACTCATTTCAACTCCCATGTTTCTCTGTTTGACTTAATCACATCAATGTGCGTTTTGCAGTTGTGAATGAGAGCACGCGAGCAGATGGACAGCCATTCTCAATTCTGCCCACATACGTCTCGCGTTGCAAACCCAATTACAGTGATGATCAGGACAAACAATAATGAAGACACATTATCCAATGCTTTACCGCATCAACGAGAAAATCGGAGAATACCATAGATCACGTAAAGAAACGTCAGTGTTCTTGGTTGCAAAGCTGTTGTTTAGTACATCACTTGTGCAAAATAGATGTGAACGCAAGTGCTGGTAGAAGGTCGAATGTCTATTGTATCTCCGCGTTGGTAGTGCAAACGACAGTGGGACATTTTAGGTTTCCCAACACCTCTAACTAATTTCCAATTTGTCTACCACACTATTCTAATTAGTATTTGATACCCATGGTCGCCATGTATTGGTCAGTTCACTGACAGGCAGTCATTATCTACAAAACACCATTAACAAATATATATATCACCAACTGATAAGGATTTTACACGCCCTAGTAGAATGGTTAACGAATGTTAACTCCCAAGCACTTTTGGCGTACCCTCTATAGATCAAAAAAGCACAACGTTGCACATTATATGCTTCAATTAACCCAGGTTTACAATAACTGTTCGTTAACTATCCGAGTATTTTGCAACTGTCCAACGCTAAACCACCTGGATCATGGACACCTTAGCTAGACCCTGCACTGGCAGCCACATCGCACCAACACAAGTGGCGTTAAATTTCTATCACTTCTCAGTCAATCAGTTCAAGACACAATGTACATCGTCGTTCTAGTCATCACTTCAACGCGCGCGCGCGCACACACACACACACACACATTGTACACTGGACTGATGCTGGACAGTGTGTTTGCAAAGCACCACCCTCTGGACAATCCCAAACGTAAAGGGATGAAACCGAGAACCCGACAATCGTACAATTCTGCACTTTGTGCATCCTCGTCAGAGTTTCCCGTTTAATTGTACCTACTTATTGATTGATTGATCATATTAGTATTGATCAATCTGAAAATTAGCCCTGTTTCCCTGTTTCGGCACAGACCGGATGCATCTACTAAGGTTTGGGAGTGAGAAGAGGGAGTGGACAGATGATAAAGAGTATTTTCCAATTGGGTACCTAAGACTGTAGCAATTCAGCCAGTCCTGCTCTATGGTGCAGAGACTTGGCCACTATGGGAACAGGATAAAAAAAGATCGTCGGTGTTCGGACACCACTGTCTATGTCACGTTGCACGAGTTTGGGTGAGGTAACCGGACGAGCATTGCTAAGGTTAGGTGTAGAGTCGCGGCCGTCCACTGGAGCAAGTAGTCGACCTTCATAGACTACGCTGGTTGGGGTATGTTACACATGTCACCAAATAGGTTGCCACGGCGAGTGATGTTTGCTGAGGCATGTGGCAGTTGTAAAAAGGTCAAGGGTGGTCAAACGAAGACCTGACATGAGGGTATGGAAACCCTAAACAGGAAACTGTGTCACATTGGTCCCAATAGGCTACCTGGCCGGGAATCCTGAGATCATGATCACAGGTTAGAGACACTGAACGATATGGCTGAGTGTCGCAAACAGTGGTGCTCATGCATCTATCATTATTCTCTTAACACCAGTCTATATGAATTCTCTATCTTCCGCTTGATTTTCCTCTCAACATTCCAATCTTCGTTCTTCTCTTCAATCCAAATGAGTGGCCAAAAGAAAGCAACCAACCAAGAAAGTTCATGGTTAATCCATGAACTTTCGTGCGCCGGTTTTGGTTGTACAAACTGAAACTTCTATATCGGCTGTACCCGATTGGCGTATCTTTTGAAAAGGACAATTCAACAGACTGCGGTATTGGGAATTCAGTTCAGAGAAAATCCAACTGGCTAACAATAGAGCAGAGCAGATTGATGGGATGGGAACTGTTTGTGATTGTCAGTTTTCACCCACCTCTACCCTACTTGCGAGTTACATATGTAGCTTTCTTGTCATTAATTACTTTTTTAAACAAAGCAAACAGGATGGATAAACCAAAAATTCAGGCAACCCATAACGTGATAAACCCAGTGATTTACCGTGACTTCACCTCGCGGTTAATACTCAATTTTCTTACATCCCCAACTATACGCATGTATCAGACTCCACTAGGGTCGAATAATAGAGAGTAATGGAGTGAAAAACGGCACATCCTACGTAACTATTCAATCAATTTTATTTAGGGCTAAAAAGTATCTGATCTTCAGGAGCTTCTATCCAATGCAATATAAGCGAGCCCTGGTAAAGGGCTTATTTTCTATTGCGAAGAGAATTCGTTCAGCAGAAACACTTGAAAGTAATCTTGAACGGATACCCTGCGCACTACAGGATAACGGATATCCGCTGAATTTCATAGCCAATTACGGTAATGACACAGAGGCTAGAGCTAGGAAAAACGACGTACCAAAGAAAAATACTTTCATCACGTTACCCTTTAAAAATGATCAGAATGAGAAACTAACACAACTTCAACTGAACCAGGCAGGCTCTTTCAAGAACCTACAACACCTCTTCGCCAATTGTTTTACATAAAAGCAAACAAATGCCTACTGAATCCAACTTGGATAATAAGCTGAACTCTCAAGCTACCTCCTCGTATATTTACCTACTTCAATGCACTTGCGATAGCAAATATTTCGGAAGAACTGAGAGACGCTTGGTCACTAAGCTCTCAAAACAAGTCCCGAGGAATCTAGGTGCCTGCGGAGTTTCCCTCCAGCTCCATCGCTCGCCATATATTGGATCGCAAACATTGCATCAATCCAAAGCAATCATTCGATTGTTAAACCAAGGGCTGCCACCGAGGTTTTGATCGATAAACATGCTCTACCACCCTTTCCCTTCGTTCAACCCGAGTGTGATTGGTGACCTTTGACCTTCGCATTGAATTTTGCCTAGTCGAGTGATTTTGATGTTTAAAAAAGCTGTATCTCAATCCATCCATGGCTTACAAGCAAAACCGTTTGCATTTGGGTCAAGGGGAATGTGTGTTCGAATCCCACCACCACCAACGCCTGACTTTACCCATTATGAGTTGAATGGCATCCCTTTGTTTGGCTGCTTCCCCCTTCCTGAAAATTTTATATTTGCATATTCAATAAAAGGGAGTAAAATAAAAAGATAGATCCTTTGACTCTCAGTTTGTTATTGGTGACAATGCGAACGAGGTAAGTTGTCCCCTTCCCCCTCCCCCACACACTCTCTACTTTATGGTACGTTGAAATGCAGTGTGTCTAGTGAGATCAAATAACAACATAATTTGTGATAACGGTTCGAAAAGAAATCCACATGAGGGATTTCACAGAAATTTTATTTTCATCAGCTATTTTGATAATTGAATAATCACTGGAAGTACGTGGTGTAAAAGTTCTTTTCGGATTTGTGTGTGGCAGTGGTTCCTTGAGTTGAAACATCTATCCATTGATGTTTGCACGAAATGGTACATGCGAAACAAAATCAACTGTTGGTTTTCAACAATGTGGTAAAACCTGTGTTTATCACGATTCTTATGGTACCGATAAATCCACTCTGGAGAGACAACACAAAGAATCATATAAAAAACCCTAAATTTCAGTTTTATACTAGGAGGATTGCCGGAAATTTGATTTATGGTTACTCAACAGTTGCAGTGGTGCACTGAAGCTCGTTGTCAATCCGCTGCGATCACCGAATTGGGAGAAATTTGAGCAACGGAGACGAAATATTTACATTCTACGATTTGTCTACTGAATTAAACATTAGTAGCTAGTAAGTTGTTCGCAGCATTTGCTAGACCCTAAGGTGGATCTCACCATTTGTTATAAATATAAGCAGGGGTACGTAAGAGAATATGACAGAGTTCGCTTACTTTCTCTGTGCTAACAGTCGGAATGCCGACTTTAAATGAGCAGAAAATGATGCAAAATCTATGCAAACTGCGACAGTGAAGTCAATTTCCGAATGCTGAAAGAAAAGTAGTCAAAGATTAATTGTGACTTGTTTACACGGACAAAAGCTATTTAAGATTTTTAAAAACTAACGTCACATTCATTTCATTCTAATTTCAGATATTTCATCAATATGATCAACCGCGAGGACAGTGAACCACACATCGATGTGGTTCTTATGGGGGGAGCACAAGTGGGCAAAACAGCCATTCTGCATCGAATGCTGCATATCCCGAACTCCCCAACTTTGAGTGGTAAATACAGCCCCACTATTGAAGACTCATTCATTCGTGAATTCCTCGTTGGAACACAGTGTTGCCGCCTGCGTTTGATAGACACCGCTGGTGGCTACGCATTCCCTGCGATGCAACGTTTGTGGGTGAAGAAAGCATCCGCATTTGTGTTCGTTTGTGCTCGAGATGATCCGCTAGGATTGGAACAATTGCGAGGGATCGGTGCACAGTTGAGAGAGGAACGTGGAAATGAGCTAAACAAAATTCCCCGTGTACTGGTCGTTAATAAGTGCGACTTGCCCCGAGAAGACTGGCTTGTCCAGGATGTGGATGTTGAACATTTGGCAGATGAAATGGACATAAGCTATCTATCGATTGTTTCCACTTCAGCTATGCTCAACACAAGCATTATTCAAATTTTCAAAGCTCTGTGGAAGCAGAATGAGGAAGCAGGGCCGGATGGAATTCAGTTTGATTTTGAAACGGAATCCTCATTTCTGAATCGACGATCTAGTGCGTTTGCCGTCCTATTCGGTTCGTCAGCTGCACAGAAACGGAACAGTATAATTCAGCTAAATGATCGCCGGGCAATAGGAAGACCGCATGCTGGATCATTCAGTGAGGCACTGATTCGCACAAGACCTGGAGTCGCACATTCGAGTGGATCAAGCGCCTGGCTGGCACGAACATTTACCAAGTTGCATG